TTTAGGAGGGGTTTGGGGGGCCCTTTTGGGGGGCCTTCCAAAATTTGTTTTTCTTTTTTTTTTTTTTTTTTTTTTTTTTTTTTTTTTTTGCAAGTACAAAAATAACCACAAGTGGTATCGTACCGGTGTAATTCTTCATTTAGGATTCACAAGTTAGACATTTTATTAATTCAGCAGCTGGTTAAGTATTCTCAAATGTCTGGTTTGCTTTCAGAATGCTATTACCAAGTTGGGCTTTTTGTTTTAAAGTGACTATTGTTCTGCTTTGTTATGACTATGATGCTAAAATTAAGGGCTGTGGAAACACTTCTGACATTTGTTCTCTTTAGGGAGTTAGCTAACCTACGGGAATTTGTAGTCGGTGTGGAAACATGCAGCGCATCACTCCTCTGACATGAAGATACCACTCTGTTAACCACATGATAGGTTTAGAAGTAACAGCTTTTTTATATCTGTTTTATATCTACTGTTTTATATCTGCTTCAGGAAAGTGAAATGTCCAAACTTTTTAAAGATTTGATTTTTTTTTTTTTAAATAACAGGAAGCTTGATGAAATAAGAATAAAAATATTTTCTGGTTTTATTAAAAAACTTTAAACTACAACCTGACTTTACATTTACAGACCTTGGTTATGCTAGAAAAGTTACTAAAATATAATTGTATTGTTCTAAAGACAGTCTACTTAAACTGGTGTAAATCTCCAATATAGAGAGACAGTCTAAATTAGTTAACGATCACATTCAAATATAAGTGCAGTATGCATTTATCCATCTTTTTTCCTAAGGCAAAGTGGATAAAACAGTAAGATGTTTATTCTAAGGTGGCGCATAAAATCTTTGTTGTAAAGCATTGTAAATAGCATGAAAAGAGCTAACAAGAGAGGCAGTCAGAGCTGGAGTTGCAGGGCAGAGACCATAAATGGCCAAGCAAGAGGTCACATTTCATTTAAGCATGCCCCCTAATTTCCTTTCAACAGTATTAACACAGCTAGTATTAGATTTGTGTTATATTTAAACTGTCAGCTTTCTTGCCTCCTACACAACTGAATGCTGTTCTTGTGGATTCGACTCAAAGGCTTTGAAATGACAGCTGCCAGGGATGGTTTACTTCAGGTCTTCTATCTCGTGTTTGCTTATGTGTCCTTCCTAAGCATGTATTTTCGTCTGTACCTCCCATCTAATATTCTTATTGTCAACAGGCAAGTTCAGAGGTACCAAAATTGCGAAAGGAAGACCAAAAAGCACGAAGCGCGCTGTTAGCTGATATCCAGCAGGGAACTCGCTTAAGAAAAGTGACTCAAATCAATGACCGCAGTGCACCACAGATTGAAAGTAAGTATGTGCTCCTGAGTAAGGTCGCTGGGTGAGCTTTGCGGAAGCCTCAGTTGTGGAGGTCAGCTGGACAGTCTTCAAATTGAAGGGCAGGTTTGAAGTTCAGCAAAGGTCTGCATCTTCATATGGCTGTGGCAGAAGAATTGTTCTTTACTAGATAAAAAAACAAAAATGCCAAAAAATTCTGGAAGCATAAATTTAATGTTGTCTAACACAATTTCTTGTTGGTGTCATTATTGATGTGAGATTAAAAAGCACGAGAGGGTGCTGTGCTCCGAGATATGGGTCAGAGAGTAATGGTAGTTTACTGTATTAACAATAACTTTCCTTGCTTAGCCTGCTTAAAGAGGGAAAAGCCTGGTCTTGGCTATGTTTGTTGGTGCCAAGTCTTAGCACTCTGAGGGCAGGATGAAGTGACTTTCTGATATACCCTGGTTTTTTGGTTCTTTTTAACAGAACCCAAAGGAGCTAACAGAGATGGAGTTAATCCAGCCGTTAATAAAGGCAGCTCTCAGCAGCCTCTGGGAGGTTTATTTGCTGGTGGCTTTCCTGTTCTCAGACCAGCAGGCCAGAGGGACGTGCCGGGTAAGGGCGTCATTTGTATGAAAAAAATAGCTGGGGGGAACTGTGATTTGGGATAAAAGTACTTTGGGGTTAGCTTTAGTGATTGATTTTTATTGTTTTTTCAGAACCCTTAGTTTATCTTGTGACCATGGAGGGCTCAATTAATAATGTGCTTGAAATCATCTTCCTAGATCTCGGGCGCCTTATTCCTTAAAATGTAAATAATAAGCTATCTCTACACTGGGTAGGGAAAAGATTGAATAGGTTGTACAGAGTTTTAATTGAGACTTTTTACATTAGCGTAATGAAAACTTTCCATTGTGCCTCTAACAGAGTATTGAAATCCGAGCTTATCAACTTCAGCACAAATGGAAATCATATTTCCTTCCCTCCCTGAGCATGTATTTCTATGGTGTTGCAGGCTTGTGTGTTACTTTAAAGATTCGTATTTAAGATTTTTGCCCTCTGGATTTTATAAAGTGCAGCTTTGATCCAGCAAGGTAATTTATTGACCTGAAAAAGAAGGTTATTATTGTTTCACAAAGACAGGAGGAAGGCACGTGTGGGAGCCCTACTGCTGCTTTTGCCTCAAGAAGTGCCAGCATCGATGAAGCGTGACTTTGAGTCACAGCAATGATCTCTGGTGCTGTTGGGCAGCTGGTGCCTGCTCAGGCAGCACAGAGCAAAGCAGGCATTTGCAGGGAAAGACAAAACTTGGCTCTACCTGCAGGTTTCTTTTTTCTTCCTGGAAGGCAAGCCAAGATGCGCAGCGCTGCTTGTGACTGGGGTTCCTCACGTAGCTTCAGCTGCAGTAGCTACTTTTGAGTTGTTCTTAGAACTACGACAAGGCCTATCAGACTATATGAATATAGAATGAGATGCCTTTTTTGGCATCATGCTTTGTGAAATCCTTGACATTTACTCAGGAAAATACATTTTGTAAGGTCAAGAGTCTTTGGGCATCTGCTGTTGAAAAGGAAGCGTTTGTACCTCTGCCTTCTGGAAAGCCTTTGAGGCATTACTTTTAAGAACTTGGCTATTATCCATGGGATTGAGATCTATGTAACATCTGTGTGAATTTTTAAATCTTAAACAAGTACTTAACTTCAACGATGCAAGTTGATGCGTGTCAGTCTACTTGTGTTCTTTGAGGGCTTTTCACTAGGACTCGCGATTCCTCCATTAGCCATTTGCTAATGGCTCACCCATGTTCAGCGGGCTGTACTAGACAGATGAGGCTGATAGGAAGGACCCCAGGCCCCTGCAGAAAAGCACCTTCTCCTTAAACTATTTAATTTTGCAGAAACTGAGGAAGAGGGAGGGGAGCCGGGTCTCTCAGCAGGCCATCATATAACTAAGCAGAGTCCCCGGTGCCCACTGGAATACATCACCTCCCAAGCCCCATTACAGCAGGGGCAACCTGTTGGGTGTGAGATGTTTTGGTAGAGTTAGTTTAGTCACTCAGGGTAACCACTGGGGAGGGGAAGATGAAGAGCTTGCTCTTTGCGCTGTTTTGTCTGACGAGTGGGAACGAAATCCTGATGTGTAACGTGCGATACCTGTTTTTCAGCTGGGAGGCCTGGGCAGCTTCCTGGAGTCCGAGCAGCGGCTCCCAAGCCCTCCGCCCCACCGACCAGCAGCGCTGCGAAGGCGAGCAGTACCCCCTCGCATCCAGCCGAAGGCCCAAGGGCGGCTGTCCCACCAGAGCCCCCCAGCACCTCCCGAGCCGGAGCCGGAGCGGGCCCCGGGCGGCCCAGCCTGCCCGCCCCCCCGCCACCGCCCCCTGCTTCCAGCAAGCCTTCCCTCACTTTCCCTCCTCCTCCCCCTCTCCCCCCTCCAGCCGAGCGCCCTCCCAAGGGGGTGTCCCCCGGCGCCGCTCCTCCGCCCCCGCTCCCTCCTCCTCAGGCTGACAAACCCACCAAGTTTCAAGCAGGCGCTTCACACCCCCCGCCGCCGCCTCCTCTTCCTCCCCTGCCCCTCGTGCCCCCCTGTGGCTTTCCAGGCAGGACAAACGATTTCTCTGCTGCTGCTTCCTCTCCATCTGAAGGAAGGGACTGTCCGCCTCCCACGCCGCCCCCGCCACCTCCTCCTCCGCCACACACGCACTCCCTGACCTCAAACAGGCTCTCCTTTCCACCCTCCCCAGCCTTTAGCAGTGGTGACGTGCCCCCTCCACTGCCCCCCAAGTCTCCCCACTTGCTGTCACAGGGCCATAAGCCAAGCAGCATCCAGTCGCTGCCGCTTCCTCCCACTCCGCTGCCGCTTTCTCCCACCCCTGGCCTCCCACAGCCCGCAACAGTGGTGGAGACCAGGAAGAAGAGACCCGGCCGAGGCACAGGTGAGAGCAGCGTTCCAAGAAGGGAGGCTTTTTTCTCCTTTCGCTAGCGGGGAGCAGGGGGGGAAATTGCACTGGTGGATGAAGAGCACACGTAGCAGGAGGGTGAGGTCCTTCATCTGGGAGGAATACCTGTAGGTTGCACGGCCTGTAACGAGCATGCGAGATGTCAGGCACTGGGCACGCACGCCATATAGTTTAATCGGCGATTCTCGGAAGCAGTGAAAGCAACGTTTTAGGACTGCTGGGCTTCTTGCTTTTGTGTTGGCATTGGTGTGTCTCCAGCAGCACAATGACTGAGCTCAGGAGCGGTCTCCTGGCAGTCTCGGGTAGGGCAGCAGAGTCTGCCAGCCTACCCACAACATCCCTCTGCTGCTGGACCTGCGCGCTCTAGAGCAATGTGAGCAATGGCTGGGAAACGTTACAGGAGAGAATAAAACAAAGATGGGGCTGCTGCAGCCATAGAGGAGCAAAGGCAAATACAGAAAAGCCCTCTGCTTTTCAACAAAGGGGAGCAGCCAGTGCCTCCTGCGATCACGGTGGTAGGGCAAAGGTTTCTCTGACTACTTGGGAAGTGGGGATATTGGCTAGTGTTTCCTTGAGCAGGTGGCAGAAGGAACTTTTAGCAGACTTCTCTGACATAATGAAGATAATAAAAAAAAAAAAGCCTAGATCTGTGTGGGTTTGAGAAATGGAGACAGCTGCTTAATAAGGAACATCTGAAGAGAATGTTCTGTATCCTGTATTTTAGCAGCCACACATGGAGAGAAAGATTACTGGTTCCCTCTGACAGCCATGGGAAAGGCCATGCAAGTACAGCAGATCAGGTGCTTCGTGACAGTGATTAATTCTGCTCAGAACTGTCTGATGAACTGTTATTTTATCAAGGTGCCTATTTCTCACGGTGGTTCAACTTCTGAGATTTCCATAAAATTAGCCTGCCTTTCTATTGGTTATCTAGGAGGAGAAGCAGTTTTAAGAGGCTGCTAACGTGGAGGCATTGGGCTTCCTCCCCCTGGCACAGCACCTGTGGCAGGTCTGCCCGGAAGATGTAAACTTTGAAGGCTCTTGCAACTCCTCAGTGAAATGCACAAGAATAATGGTAATCCCACTGCGTAGCTGCTGAAGTGTCAGGAAATTATTTTCTTTTACAGATACCATCTAGTGTGGTTGTTTGGGGTTTTTTTCCTTAAAGAAACTGCTTGTTCTTGTGAAAGTGGAAGGATAGTCTTCCCCTCTAGACTGGATAAAACCATCCTTCAGTATGTCAGACTTTCCCTAGAACTAGAAATAGCAAGCCTCAGCCAACCCCAGTAGCGACTTTAATACTTAATGCTATAAATCCATGGTCAGGCTTGACAAACAGCAGCTATGAAGTATGCTACGATAGCTGTGTAAGTTTGCCACAAATACTGCATTCCTTCTACGCTCCCTCCACTTTGGTGCAAAGCCCATTTCTTAAGTCACGATGATGATTATGTACTGGTCTGCTGCTTCTTTTTAAGGAGCTGGTGCCGGGAAGCTAGTCGTTCCTCCACAGCCACCAGCGAGATCACCAACAACTGAACTTACAAGCAAGTCTGGAGTCTCAGCCTGGGCTACAGCTCATGACCCCTACCCACCACTTAAAAATGGAAATATGCACATCATGGGTAATGACATCTACATTAGATCTCGTAGCCTTAGTTAATGATTTTAGTACAAAAGCCTGTGTGTGTCTCAGACCTCAAAAACTCATTCAAGACTTTCTCAGGGTAGTGTAACTAGACCCATTAGAAACATTTTTGTGCAACCTTATACAATGAGAGAAAATTAAGGCTTTTTCACAAAGGTGAATCATCCAGTAGACAAGAAAAGCGTGCGCTACCTGCAAAATTATTTAAGATTGTGAAAAGTTGCTGTAGTGTGCTTGTATTACTATTCTTAAAACCAGTTCACGGACATTTAGTAGTTTCAATCTTATAGAGCAAAGACTGCTAAGAATTATTTTTGTGGTCTGATGAATTGGCAGTTCGTTCTTGCTTAAAGGTAAATGGCTTGAAAACCACCTAGGAATACCTCTACTACCACAACATCATCAAGGCAGAACACTGGAACGGCAGTCAAAAGCTTAACTTCAGTTAGTACCAGGCAGTGTTTGCAATTAAGTCAGAAAACTTGCATGGCTCACAAAAGTACTCATCAAGATTGTTTATATGGAGTAAGCCACTCTCAGTTCCAGGGGAAAAGAAGTCAGCATTTTTAACTGAAATTACTTGTGGCAATTTTTTTCTTTTTTTTAAGTATTTCTAACAGTGACTGATATTTATTTCCCTGAAACTTCCCAGATGACTTTGAATCTAAATTTACTTTCCATTCTGTGGAAGATTTCCCCCCACCTGATGAATTCAAGCCATTTCAGAAAATATATCCCAGCAAGATAGCTAGAGGTAAGTGTGTAAACATGAGAAGGTCTGATAATTATCCAATAGGATTAAAAACAGGGAGTGAAAACGAAGAACAGAAACCAGCATTAATGCGAAGAACTGGGCTGCTAGGATAGGCACAGAGTGGAATGGGATTTGTTACAGTGGTAACGGGGACCAAAAATACAATGAAAAGCACTTAATTAATTACTTCAGAGTCTTAGTAGCTAAACATAAAATGATGTGGCTTGACATACAGTCTGTGTTCTTTAGATTATTGAATCTGCAGAGCCCTTGATGTTAAAAACAGTGATGACACATAGACAGGCAGCTACTGAGTTGGCTTTTTGTTCATGAACTTGTGAAATCACAAAAGAAAGGTGACTTGATCCGTGTCTTCCATCATGCGTTTGGATTTAAATCCTATGCATGGTGTTTTACACACCTGAATAACAAAGGGACTTGGAACCTGAACCTTGTCAGGAAAGTAATGAATGGGTCAACCTTACTTTTTTTCTTCCTTCCCCCTTAACTTAGAAACTTGGTATCACTGTTGTAAGAGCAGAAGTTCACCTATCCAGCTTTGAAAACTGGTAGGTGAAGGTGCCGAATGATTTCGTGCCCATATTCTGCTTTTTACAAAACCCAGTCTTTTCTGTATTATTACATCAACTCTTTAGCTCCAACTTTAAAATTAATTTTGTTGACAAAAATGTTTAATTTGAAGAAATACAAATATCTGTTTAACAACTCAAAAAATTGATCATGCTGCTTGTTTTTCTTCATGTTTACTTTATTTTTTTTTTTTTTTTTTTTTTTTTTCATTTCCATGCCAAGGTACTTTGTGTGATTTTTCATAGCAGCCTCAGACTAAATCATCCACTGTATGATCAGATCAAAGACTTTTTACTGAAGGGTTACAGAGCATGAGCAATATATCTATCTCAGTTCAAGGGTAGGAGGTAAATGCAGCATCCCTGCTGTAGAACTGCATCCAAAATACATATACAAAAAATGTATCTATCATCTCCTCTGATTAAACCTGTCCTATCTATTTACAGATCCCTCTAAAAATCCTCCATTAAGAACACATGTGAGATGAGAAGAGTCTTCTGATGCTCTCTGGATTCGTATTAAAAAGAAGAACATCAAGATAATAAAACAGAAGGGGTCCCCATTACAGTGATAGAGATTATATTTGAATTGCAAGTGCTGCAATGTTGACGTTTCTATAAACTGGAGAAGTGATGTAAATGCTACTTTTTGAACTGGCCTACATAACACAGGAATGTTAGCACAGGCTTTTAAATTATTGTATATAGGTAGATATTTTTTAAGCAAAGCAGCATCAAATTTAAATTCTTTGTAGTGTTGAAACAATTCTTGTTCTTATTATTTTGACAGATGTTACCTCAGAATACTTTTTGCATTACATGCCTGTAGTTCATTTTTCCCCTTCCATCATAATTTTAAAGTATTTTGGAAATTCTCCAGTTATTATTCAGACATTTTTCAATGAACTAGCAGAAACTAACGTGATACTGTTAATCTCTTTGTATGTTTCTTCACTTCTTCTATTCTGCCTAGCCTTGGATTGCAGCATGAATGTCACTTTCATGAACAGATGGGCCCACAATCCTTTTCTCATCAAGCATGAAGAGGAAGGAGATGACAAGGAGTTGTGGCTGCGGTTGAGCCTACCTCCTGTTGATTATAGATCCTTATAGGATAGTGTTTGAAGAAGCCCAGCTGGGTAGGGTGGTCATGGACTTGACAAACAAGACAGAACTTTTCCAAACTGCAGGGAAAGCAAATTGTTCTACTGTAAGCAAAAACAAATGGTGTGTGTGAATACACATGCCATGAAGTATGTGCGTAAGGGCACGTGTCCTGTCTTTTCCTGCTGGTAAAGTGGGTATTTATTTACCATTTGTGTGACAGACTGTTTTTACCCAGCAATTAGGAGGCCTTCGGGTGAGGGGTCCAACAGCTAGATTTTAAACAGGCTCCTAGAGCTACTGTTGTTCACCCATAGCAGCAGTGAGGATTCATTGTCCAAAATACACTGTATGGAACATGCAGTCCCCAAAGTGGTAGTTGCCTGGAACAGAGTTGGTTGAAAAAAGTAACAGCCTAGCAGCAGACAAGAGTTGAGCTTCTGCTTTTAATGTGCAGCCTGGGGCAAGGTCTTTGGATCACAGATGTTCAGATCTGCTCTTACGATGCCTGTTTCCAGCAAGACTTGACTTACCCTTATTCTTGTGCATTTCACTGCATTGTCTCCCTGGACTTCACTAAGGCCTTTGACACAGTCTCTCACGGCATTCTCCTGGAGAAGCTGGCTGCTCACGGCTTGGATAATGTACTCTGCGCTGGGTTAAAAACTGGCTGGACGGCCAAGCCCAGAGAGTGGTGGTGAATGGAGTCAAATCCAGTTGGCAACCAGTCACGAGTGGTGTTCCCCAGGGCTCAGTACTGGGGCCGGTCCTGTTCAGTATCTTTATCAATGATCTTGATGAGGGGATGGAGTGCACCCTCAGTAAGTTTGCAGATGACACCAAGTTGGGTGGAAGGGTTGGTCTGCCTGAAGGTAGGGAAGGCCCTACAGAGGGACCTGGACAGGCTGCATCGATGGTCTGAGGCCGACTGTATGAGATTCAACAAGGCTCAGTGCTGGGTCCTGCACTTGGGTCACAACAACCCCACGCAACACTGATCTCAGAGGTCTTTTCCCAACCTTAATGATTCTATGATTAGGAAGAGTGTTACGAGCAGGTCAAGGGAGGTGATCCTTCCCCTCTGCTCAGCACTGGTGAGGCCACACCTGGGGTACTGTGTCTGGTGCTGGGCTCCCCAGTACAAGAGAGACATGGACATGCTGCAGAGAGTCCAACAAAGGGCCACAAAGATGATGAAGCATCTCTCCTGTGTGGAAAGGCTGAGCGAGCTGGGACTGTTCAGCCTGGAGAAGAGAAGGCTCACAGGGGACCTCATCAATGTGTATAAATATCTGAAGGGAGGGTGTGAAGAGAGAGCCAGGCTCTTCTCAGTGGTACCTGTGACAGGACCAGAGGCAGTGGGCACAAACTGAAACACCAAGAAAAATTCCTTACTGTGAGGGTGATGGAGCACTGGCACAGGTTGCCCAGGGAGGTTGTGGACTCTCCTTGGAGATACTCAAGAGCTGTCTAGACATGGTCCTGGGTAACTGGCTGTAGGTGGCCCTGCTTGAGCAGGGGGGTTGGAGAAGATGAGCTGCAGAGGTCCTTTCTAACCTCAACCACTCTCTGATTCCCCTTCTTACAGCTTTCCTAGGTTCACCAGCTTCAATAAAGGCACTGCTGTTCGACTGGTGCTAAGAGCCAAGCTAGTTACAGTTTTGGTATTATTTATATAATTGCCATAAATTCCCCTCAGCTGCAGCTGTAGTAACATTATAGATCACAGGTGAAGATCTTTTCCCCCACCCATGCCTTTGAACAAAAGTATTTGGAAGAGACGGGTAACTGCATCTTAACATATCTGCTTTTCCCTTAGTTCTTGCAGCAGCTCAGTTGTGCTCTAACTCCTACTTCCACGCGCATGCACACTTACGGTGTGGCGATGGTGTAAGGGTAAGAAGCTCTTCACCTGCAGGACTCTAAGAAAGCATCATTAGTCTTTTCTGTCCTGTTATGATACCTTGTTGTTCTTTGTGTGAAAAGAAAAAAAGTAGTGATGCTTTGGCCAATACTTACTGTCACCATTATTACAGTTACTTGATAAATATGCATGAATACACTAATAAGCAGGGGCTCAGCATACACATTGCTTCTCAAACAACTGGAAAAGTTTAATACTGCTTTGAAGAATATTTTGTTATAGTACTATTAAAGGTGACTTACTGTTGGTTCTCATTTGTTCTGGAACTTGTGTACTGCTCTGTAATAAGTACCTTCATGAGGATTTTAAAACTACTTAATGCTAGACTACCTACCAGAAGATACCTAAAGGAAAAAAAAATTTTACTCCTTTTTTTATTATGATTAGGGGTATTTTAGAAGCAAACAACAGAGTTTAGGGATTAAACTAGAAAGCCTGTGCGTATTTGCAAGCATTGGTGAAATGTTGTTTCATGCATACTGGATCGTGGTTGTTCCAGATCCATCGAAGCTTGTGAAGCTGCTATTACCTGGAGACAGAGAATCACACTGGCTGCACCCCGGGGCAGCCAGTCCCACTAGCTCCTTGTGCTGAGCCACAGCTGTGCTCAAGACCACTAGAAGTTTTAAGGCCATGGGGGTGCTCTGTGCTCTGGTTTCTCCCACTTGTAGGACTAGTGATTGCACTCAAGCATGTTGCTGTAGCACAGTTTTTGGTTTGTTTGGGTTTTTTTAGAATGCACTACGCAGCTGAAGCAAAAGCAACATACTATTAGAAAATTACTACCTGGATCACTGTGCTCAAAACAATTTATTAGTTCTGTCATATAAACAGTTCCAAATACGGACATAAATTCCCACAAGATAATTGCAAATGTTGGTTTCTTCTTTCTTAAGAAACAGGCAAATAAGATATATTATGTTTTTAGCAGGAACACCCTCTCCTTCCATCTTGCCTTCCCTCCCAACTCTTAAAGGCTAGAGAAATTGTTGTGCAAAAGAGCTGTGTGAAATGGTATATCCTAATTTCTGCCCTCCGGCTGGGGCAATCATTTTATCCCTGTTCTGCCCTTGTTCACAAACATCCAGCTACTCCTGTCGGGGTGCAAAGGGCTCAGCAAGCAACAGCTTATAGAAGCAGCTTTGAAGTTCAACATGGTACGTGTTAAGTGTACTCTGATGCAAAGTATTTTCATCCAAAGTACCCTTTCATTCCAAAAGTGGATTTAATGGGAAATCCATTTACTTCAGTTGTGGGCAGTTGGCAAAAGCACCCTGCTCTTTCAGCTGGCTTCATCCAGCACAATACCCTCTGAAATGAAGCGTGCTTGCAGTCCCTACTCTGGCTAGGTAGAGAGAAGCAAAGTTTTAGGGTTTACTTGCCTATCTTCTCCTTCCCTTGTCCCCATTTTCAGAATAGCTAGGCACAGGAGCTGTTCCTGTAATAGAGCATGGGAGGAGTGTATTGTGAATGGGAAGGTGAGAAAAAAGAAAAACACCTTCATGTTTGTTTTCTGTAAGTGAAAAGGCCCACTGTTTTCTTGTCCAATTGCCAGTTATCACATAAGGCAGTACCAAAGTAGTGAGTCCAAATGGAACAATTTCATTAAAAAAAAAATCTGAGACTGCAGTGTGCCAATATGGCAATGACTGTATTTCCCTAATGCACAACTCTTACGTTTCAAGTTGAGGTGTTGCTGCCTTCTAAGGAGCTTTTATTTTCTCAATACAAAACTCCGTGGTTTTTCACCATCCCTATCCCTGAACAGTAAAGAATTTTAACTCCATATGCTAACTTCCACTTACTAAAGACACGGACTTCTTGTCTGAACCTCCTGTTAAAAAAAAAACCCAACCATCTTCACATGGCACAGGAAGCAGTGTTTACTGATTTAATTCTTAAAGTGTTTGCCCTATCTCACTTCTACAAGAAGAAAATACATGAAAAGCAGGTCTGCCTGTAAGACTGTCAAGTAAGGGAAGCATGCTGCAGAACCGCACTTAATATAAGGAAGCATAAGACAGACATTTCTAAGCCTAACCAGTTGGATTGCCACACCCACCAGTAACTCACTGGTACTTAATGGATTCATCAGCCATGTATGCTCACCACGGAGACTACTAGGAACTCTTCAGCAGTACAAAGGCAAAAAGATGGAGAATAGTCAGGTATTGATCAATGTCCAGCATCTATGCCCTCAAAAAATTCCAAGTTTGTAGCTTGCATGTAAATATGACACCTTATTAATTGCATCTTAAGAGCCAACAGGTTATTTACAGATGTCTTAGGCATCCAGGCTGGCTCTGCATTTTAGCACTCAGTACTAGAGCGGCAGCCAGGTGCGTTACAAGCACAAGCTTCCCAAAGTTGGGTGCAGGTGAGGGCAAAACTTAATCTGGGGGACCTAATTCTGGTCATTTGTACAGGCATGATGTCAGATGCTGAGTTACTGTACCAGAT